ATGTTACTTCTTTTGATTATTGTAATTTATAGTACTTTTTAAGTAAATTTTTATAATATATGTTACTTCTCTTATCCCAATGTATATGGCACAAATAAAATTTTAAGAGTCAATCAAATGTTATTAATTATTAAATATTAACTACTAAAATTGTATTAATTTACAATTGTCTTCATTAACTCATTACTGCAAAAATATTATACACATTAAGTTGGACGATTTTTTAATAATAATTGTGATTGTTTTTATTAACAAAAGCTTATTGTGATTTTTTTTAATTAACAAGCTAAATTGTGAATATAGAATTTTTATAAAGAGAGAGAGAAAATATGTCTATGAATAAAGAATAAGCACATGGGATCACAATTGTGGAAAAGCTAAAGGCCTTGGCAGGTGTACTCTCTGACATCAATTGGTGCCTTTTTAAATAGAATCATCCTTTGGTTTTGCAATATTTACGAAATTATCTGCAGGCAATCATGTACTCCCTCCGTCCCATTTTATGTGGCAACATTTCCTTTTTGGTCAGTCCCAAAAAGAATGTCACATTCCTTATTTGGTAAGTATTTAAAAGGTACAATTACCTCTTTTATCCTTGTTGGTCCCACTTAATCCTTGAAAAGAGTACTCCAATACATTTATTAGGAGAGAGAAAAATAAGTCTATTTTTTAAGGACAATTTGGTAAACATTTCAAAGTCTTTATCTATTTCTTAAACTCCGTGCCCGGTCAAATGTTGCCACATAAAATGGGGACGGAGGGAGTAATAAAAGATCAAATCCGGGGCAAAATCAGAACATAAAAAAGCAATCATGGGCTGCTATTTGAATTAAGCAAAAAACAATTGGGCTTTGTGTCAAAATCTCAAAAACGTCCAACAATCGATCCTACAATGTACAACATGTCATAGCAAAATTATAGTGTTATTCCAAAGAAGAGAAGTAGTAGATAGATATATATAAGTAGTAGATAGATATATATATATATGACAAACTAAGCTTCAAGAAAAC